GGGGGGGAGGAATGGAAGGAAAGAGAAACGAGAAGAGAGGAAGACGGGGAACGCACGTCCTCGCTTTACACGATTTGATCCGAAAGCGAAGCCGAAAACGTACAAGAACGAGAAAGAGACGTGACGGAAAGAAGAGAGAGAGAGAGAGAGAGAGAGAGAGAATGAGAAAGAGATGGAATATTATTCAAGCGCTCCCTTCTTGTGAGATGACATCCCCCCGCGACCTTAGAACCGAGGCTGACCTTGACCGTGTCAACCCCCACCAGCGCGACTCACGCGTCCCGGCTGCTGCTTCACAGCTCTCCGCGCAACGTTTCGCAATCCTCGCTGCCTCCTCTTTTTCTCTCTCTCTCTCTCTCTGCTCTCTCTCTCCTCAACCCAGCAACGCAGTCGCGTCATATTACGTTAGTGCCGTGTTGCTCGGCGCTGCTGCTGCTGCTGCTGCGGGCATCCTCGCTGCATCGACCGGTCGTAAGCGAGCACCCGGTTCCATCCCTCACAAAGGAGAGAGGGAGTGAGAGAGGAAGAGAGGAGAAACGTCCCGCTCTCCTGTGTTCCACCCATCCCCCTCGCTCTCGACATTCTCGTTTTGCGACGCTCGTCGCTCGTCAGCCAGCGGATGGGCACTACCCAATTATCGACTTGAAATTCACAATCGCACACGGAGAACGCTCGTTGGTCGATATATGCCGTGTATATGGTAATAACGTGTTCTATCGAGTGCGAGATGAAAGATGACGCGGAGAAAGAGAGAGAGAGAGAGACAGAGACAAGGATGGTGACGCGTGTGGAAGAAAGAACCATCCTATAGGCCATTCAAATGAACCTGTCGCTGACAATCTGGGTTATCTAAATCGGAGATAGCCAAACACCGATTTTATATTGTAGTTCTGTCTATAATGATACATGTGGAACACGAGGAGAGAATTTGGAATTGTAGCTATATATACGGATATATAACTTCTGCATAAAGACATAACTGCTATATAGATTACGGACAATCAGAGAATTTGCGCGAACAAGTATTTGGTTAAGTATTTGGATTATCTAAATTGAAAGTGACAATATATACACTGTCCATTCCCTGCAACTGTTAAAACTAATACCTTCTTCGGATATTCTTATAATTTTTATACTATAACGCGTCGCGATTAATGGCAACAAATACGAATAATTAATAAAAGAGGCGTAATCAAGGGGGAAAAAATTAAAAAAAATTATACTTGTCAAATTATTCAAAGATTAAAATTTATCCGTCTTAAAAACAATTAAGGTTATAATGAGTCTAATCGCAGCCAAACTGAACCAGACACCTTTCTCTTCAATGAAGCGCTCTGCCGAGCATCGTCCTGAGTTCGTTAGAAAAAAAGAGAAGAGTTGTTTAATGCAACAATAATCTTTGTGCGGCAGAGTAAATAGGACACGGCACACACAGCGAAGATCCAATATATTCCGGCAGAGAATTCGGTCATGGTCGCCTCCTCCGATCTACGTCGCTCTGCAAATTCCACTCTCTCGTGGTCCACGAGCGAGCGGCAAAAATGTAGAGCGGAAAGGCCACGCTGATTATCAGGGCCGTGAGGTCCTTCGAGACGAATACGCAGAGAGAGAGAGAGAGAGAGAGATATCGATATACGTAACACAAACACGAATTTAAAAACATGAAAAATGTCTTCCGGGAGAAAGAAAGAAAGAAAGCGGAAAGGGGCGCAGGTTTTAAATTTAACATAAAAAGTCATAATATCGTTTTTTAATTGAAATCAAAATTTTCAAAGCGAGAATTATTATTAATTGAAATTTCAACCATTTATCGTTTACGAATTCCATCGCTTTTAACCATCAACCGCGCTACTGTCCACGTTCGAATAACCCGCCGACTGACACGCCGGTACAACACTACTGAATCGTGCCGATCAACGACGGCGGGATCGGCGACGTCGGGCATATCGGCATCACGCGCGAGACTGTCTCGCTCTTTTATCGGTCGACATTGCAGCCGCCGGTCGTGACAGCGAGTAAAGTGGATAAGATACGTTTGCGGGAGAGATTTCACGAGAGAGATCGAAAGCGCTCAGCTGTTAACGCGCACCATGTGCTCGTGCCGGCGCTATCGGCAAGGTCGAGCAGCTCCGGCGCGGAGAGACGCTACCGTTCTGGCAGTGAAAATGGCGCGCGCATCACCGCCGCGGCAAGTCGGAAGCGCGAACGCGTCGAAACTGTAAGCTCCGCGACATGGACTTTACCTCTGTCGAATTTCTTGCCCTCCGGATCGATGTCCTTCACGTTGAAAATATCCTCGAACAGCACGCCCGCCATGTTGCGGATTACTACACATACGGACCGCACCGCGCGCGCTCTGACGGAGCTTGACGTAGACAAAACGCTGCCAGGTGCGTACAAATAGATGTAAATAGAAAAAAAACCAAATTTGTTTTCATAAAATACGTTTTTTTTTAAACATAAGCCTCGTTTTTCTCAAAATTTTGTTTTTCTTCAGCTTCCTATTTAATATCTATATATTTTGCTTAATATAAGTTAATTTTTTAAGATTTTTTATTTTATAGATAGTAGATTTAAATTATCATCATTTTAATCTTTACGATTAAAATGATGATAATAAACGATTCTCCTTTTGTAAAAGTTAAATGTAGATCACATTAAAATTAATTATATAATTATATAAATACTATTTACAATTAATTAGTCGTGCTATCGGGATTAGAAAAAAACTAAATTTGTATTTTTTCAATGAAATAAAACACGTTTATTTTCTAATGTTTTTTTCTATTAGAAAAAAAAACGTTTATTTTACATCTCTACGTACAAATGGTGCTCTGGAACCAGGGTGGTGCCGTAGATTTCAAGATTACGTCTACACGGATTATTTTTACGATTAAATTTACGTGAAATCTACGTGATGTTTAACATGGTCTTTTTGCCACGTAAACAATCTAGACTTGTAAACTATGTAGACTATTGTAAATTGTATCACTAATATATACAATATAAAAGAATTAAATTATAAAGCAGTCTCTACCTACAGTAGAAATGTCGAAAATGTATCTAGGAACAGGCTAAAAATACCACATCTTTAAAATATTCTTGATGTTTACAATATTTTGAATATTAATTTAATTACGAGATTAAAATTAAGAATGTAACCAGAACATTTTTCTTACTCAAATGGTAGTTTTTCTTACATAAACGTTAAATTATATGTATTTATTAAATGAATAAATATATAGTCTACTGACTGTCTACATAGATGACACATATATGATTGTACTCTACGTTTACGTGTAGACAACGTAAAACGTAAACTATTGTATAAAGTGTCATCTATGTAGACAGTCAGTAACTATATATTTATTCATTTAATAAATACATATAATTTAACGTTTATGTAAAAAAAAAAACTACCATTTGAGTAAGAAAAATTCTCTGGTTACATTCTTAATTTTAATCTCGTAGTTAAATTAATGTTCAAAATACATAAAGAATATCCTAAAGATGTCGTGATATCCTGTTCCTAGAAAGATGTCGTGTTAGCCTGTTCCTAGATATATTTTGGACATTTCTACTGTGGGTAGAGACTGCTTTACAATTTAATTCTTTTATATTGTATATATTAGTGATGACAATTTACAATAGTCTACACTCTACATAGTTTACAAGTCTAAATTGTCTACGTAGCAAAAAAAAACCATGTAAACATCACGTAGATTTCACGTAAATAATCCGTGTAATCTTGAAATCTACGGAACAACTTTGAATTTATGTCGACTCTAAAATTGACAAGAATTCAACATGATTATAACGAGACATAAAATCAATTACAAAAGTTAACTTTTGGTCTCGGTATTTTTGTTAAAATTTTATAAATGTAAGTCGATTCTGGTATTATATTGAAAGCAATTCGATGAATAAATTACAATCTTTAAATACATTTTAAGATAATATAATATGTTAATATAATATGATAAAGTATATAATATAGTAAATAATATAAGTAAATAATATAAATAAATAATATAAGTTTCATAACAATTTTCCTTCCTACAATTTTGCTTTTAAAAATTTCATTCTTTAAAATTTATGGAATTTAAAATTACAATCTATATTTGGTTTGTCGTTATAATACGTCTGCGACGTTTCTATGAATCATAAACGCGCGCGTCTCTCTCGTGCATAAATACGTTTTTAAAATAATATAATATGTTAATATATGATAAAGTATATAATTCAATATAGTAAATAATATAAGTTTTATAAAAATTTTCCTTCCTACAATTTTGCTCTCAAAAATTTCATTCTTCAAAATTTATGGAATTTAAAATTGCAATCTATATTTGGTTTGTCGTTATAATACGTCTGCGACGTTTCTATGAATCATACACGCGCGCGTCTCTCTCGTGCATTACTCACCTTCATCAAAGACTTCTTGCGACGGGTAAATAGCGCTAATGACATAAACTGTTTCAAAAATAGAAACTTCAATTTAAAAAATCGACAGCACCTTCCTTCATAAAATACGGTAATAAAATAATAAATATAGACTTGCAATTTCTATCAATACCATTTTCTTCCAATTGCAGAATGAAACAAAAAATCATCTCTCATTTAGAAAATCAGAAATTTTCTTTTATAAATGAGGTGTTAATTTCTTCCGATTTTATATCCCAAGTATTGTTAACGAATCGCAAGAGCACTCTCGTTTCAAAGATCAGATATTCGAAAATCCGTGAAAAGAAAAGCTTTTGTGACGTGCAATTCGTGATGTCGATGTTTCGGAAGCAGGAAGGGAAAGACTGTCACGAATATAGCTTGCGAATTTGTCGGAAGCCATCCGTTTACACGAGGAAACGGTTCCAAAGTTGAAGATCGATGCAATCCAGGAATTAACGAGACGTTTACTGGATTATCTGGACGGCCTTGGTGCTCGTAAGCGAGCACCAACAGGGAGAGCCACTAAGCGGACCATCAGTTTTTACGCAGCATCGATGATCGCTGCGAGGATTACACTTTTACGAGCGTCTGGAAGAGAATCGTATCGCGTAACGCCTCGATATAATGACACATATTGGCGCGGTGCATTACGTAAAATTAGGAATTTCATAATCTTGCGCAATGCGGAATAAAAGAAATTACGTTTATCGTTAACTTTCGAATACTTCCAATGTTCAATAATGAACAAAAAAAAACTCGCAATTACTCGAAACTTTTTAAAAAAATTTTGCAATTTTGAAAAAAAAATTAATATATAATGAAAAATTATCAAGGGTTTACATCGAGTTGTTCACGAAGGATATTGTGACATCTCAGCCATCTTAAAATTTCGAAGATGTTTTATATATATTAAAAAGAAATTAACATCTATGAGAAATAGGAAATTAACATCTATGAGAAATATCTTGTATCTCAATTTACATCTTTATATATATATATATATGACATTATTTTAAGATATCTTTAAGATCTTATTTAGGACCGCTTATAAACCTGTGTAATTTCTGTTATTAAACAGTCTAGATAGTAATGTATACATATCGCATCCTTACTTCAAAAATTGCACAATAAAAAAAAATCAAGTTTCTTAATATAGTTAACTGGCAAAGTAATATTTACGTAACTCATTCATTTAATAGTAATTTGCTTAACTCATTCATTTCATAGTAATGATTTGTGTAAATCACGTTTTTCAGTTGTACCACTTTTGAATAAGGATACGATTTGTAAACAGAAAAAGAAACTAAAAATTGTGTCTAATAAATCGCGTAAAAATAAAATTTGACAAGCTCGAAAATCGATAAGGCATTTAAATAGATACAAAAATTTATATATTATATAATAAAATATTACATACTTCGTTTACTTTATTTGTCATAAAAATTTATATGAAAGTAAAAAATTTATATATTTACAAATCGTATGTTATTTAGTCTTCGCTTTCACTCCCATCCTCCATGTTAATTCCTTCTGTTACTTCAGAGGGCATTTCTAATTTTTGTTTAAATTGCTGAACATATTTGAGCAATCGTTTATCATAATTCATCACCTGTCAAATTAAATTGCCATATTAATACATATGTATATCAATGCAGAATGCATGTAGCTTACAAATAATTGTATAATTGTAATAACTAAATCACAAAATAAACTATACGAAAGTGACTTGATATAGAAATATGAAAAATATAACTGGCATACCATTTTCGTAACATTCTTGATGGCCTTTTGCAGATTTTGTTTCGATAGATCGTCCTCGATTTGAATACATAAGTTTGTTAAAGATCTAATAAGAACTTCTTGATCTATTTTGCTCTCTGGATTCAAGATCTCAGCCAATATAGCAAATGCAAGATTGTTGTGCGTGTAAAACATTTGTCCGCTGGTCTTCTGACAACCTCGTCTAGTTAAACTCAGTATAAACCTAGATATGTGATACGCATTAATCTCTCGTAAAGGACTAATGTCTGGCGCGTTGCAAAGAACTTGCAATGTTGGAAAGTATGCGCCTTCGAGCATTTCTTGCGCGTCGAGCACGCGCGCTACGAAACAGTCGAAGAAAGCGCTCAAGCATTGACGAAGATAAATGTCATCGGCGTTGACTGGATTGTAGCACATAATTATCAGGCGCGACACTAGATTACTGCTATTGATTCGTCGATTGAGCAACAACTTGCAGAGTCCTTCCGCTGCAGTAGTGCGCAAATCTTGATTCTGTAAATTTTCCCATATAATTACCGCATTTTGACATTTTATTCAATTTTACCCAAATTCAAGGATATTGTTACTTTACCGCGTTGGTCAGCAATCCAGTTAAGATTTTAATGAAATTGCAAGGTCCCTCCTCTATCTCAGTTCGTTTACTTAGGGACAAATTGCTGTCATCGTGTGTATAAAGCGAGCGAGTCTTCTCAGATCTGTTCTCTTCCGGAGATTGCAATATATCAAAATATTCCAAACCGTACATAAGCAAGAGATCGAATATTCCCTTCAAAGAAACAACCCATATCTCCTGATTTTCTTGCTCAAGAGAAAACTGGTAAAAGAATATCATCATGTGTTTCTTAGCCAATTCTTTGTCCAAGATGCAGTAAACACCCAACGTCTTTAGTGCCAATACATGTACACTATCGTGAGGATGCTGAAATGATAAGTTAGATTAAATCATAATAAGTGACGATAAAATAAATAGATGTAAAATAGGATGCAAATTTTTTTTTTAATATACACATACACATGCTGAAAAATATATATGCACACTTACGTCAAGACTGTTTAAAACAAAACACATCAAACTTCGGAGCGTAGGTGTTAACACGCGCATAGATTGCATCGCAACATATAGAATATCAAGACATTTCACCATAGTTGCGGTATCATTTTTCTCTTCCCGCATATTATCCTCAGTTATTACAGGTTCGGGTGTTTTAGACAAACGACTTATCTCCTCCTTCAAGCCATTGATCTGTTCTTTAAGGCTGTCAGCTTGTAGAAAATTTTGTTCCTTGACTGCTTGATACAATTCCTCTTCGAGCTCCATTACTTCAACTTTTAATCTAGCTTTCTAAAAGTCACATTGACACAGGAAAATAAAAGAATTTCGAGATACACTTTGAACAATAGAGTCGATTTTACAGTACTCACTTGCATGTTGTTCTTGTGCTGTTGCTCTGCAGTAATTTGCTGAGTGACTACATTTTCTTTCAACGGCAGCCTAGTCTCGCTAATAACATTAGCAACAGCATTCAGCATATTGCTGGCCTCTGGTATCACTTTTGCCAAATGACTCACCAGACACTCAATTATTTTAGGGGAACAATGATCGCTCATTAAAGTGTCTATTATCACTTCGTTCAGATTCTTCCTGCCTACTTCGTCTGAGAGATCATACGTAGTAGATATTTCAAAAAGTTGCAACAGAATAAACTTGTGACTCTCGTTTTCCCACGTCTCGTATGGCTGAGATGATATGAGAGCAATGAAATCGCGTATATATTTACAAAACTCTGATAATTCTGGAATCGTTAATTCTAACTCTTCCGTATAGGAAAGACGATAGAGATGTTGTATTACACATTTCCAGTATAAAACATTTTCATTCGTTAAGCTCGTTAATGGAATCAATCTTGTATTTTTATCTATCGGCACTTGCTCCAGTAAAACCTTTAAATTAGCATTTCTGTAAAGCAACATTTAATAAAAGATATAAATGACATGTACACACGCAAACACACATATATTAACTTTATCAGTTGTTTATTTTTCTTACGAAACGAGACACTTACTTGAATAATACCTGTAAAGCTAAAGTTGCCGTCTCTGTTCCTATCCCTGCGTCTAGTGCATGAATAAGATTCATATACTCTCCCTTGAAATATCTTAGCCATGCTGGCAATAAAACATTGTTTACGCATGTCCTGACACTCTCGGATCTGTCTTTGAGACCGTCCTTCAATAAACATTCCCTTTGCTCAATAGTCAAGGAACGCATGGTGATCTTACTGATAAATTCGTACGCCGTCTTACGCACAGAGTCATCAATGTCTCGTGTTCTTATAAATGCAGCCTGTAGAGTTTTCTGATTTTTGCCCATAGTAGCTAGCACGGCCTTACGGACCTCGGCATTTGGATCTTTAGACACATGGAAGAGATACATTTTTATCACAGGGCATTGCTCGTCCGACGGATCCTGCAATCTGTATAAGGCAAAGACAGCCTGCGCTCTGACTTTAGGCGACCTGTCCAACAATCGATCCATCATACTGACTGTAATTTGGTCACACAGATTGTCGTCGATGAAAGCGTTATCGCCCATGGAGTTCAGGAGCATGTTTAGAAAGTGGCATATGCGAAATCTCACTCCTTTATCCTTAGCATTGTGACTCGATAAAAGAAACTCGAATAACCTGCTAAGAAATGGCGAGATTGGCTCTGTGGTTTCGCTCTCCAGGGATGGATAGAAACTCATGCAAAATTTAGCGCAAAACTCTAATGTGTTTATGACATATGGGTGCTGTTGCGATGTTGAAAGAGGCACCTTCAGACACCAGACAAAATTTTCCCAGAATGTATCTAAATTAGTCTGAAAAAAAAAAAAAAAAAAAAAAAAATTAATATATACATATCACAAAGTACCATTTGTTTCAAGCAAGGCAAATATGTTACGTACAAAGCGGATATTAGTTTAAATTACTATAATCAGCCCAATAAATTCTGAATCGTATTAAATATTATTGTAAGAAAGATGCAAAATCAAAATTGTTTCGAAAGAAGCATTTCGTGAAACTCACCCTCTCATATAACTTTGTGAGCTTCTTTATGTACTGCGGATGATCGGTTTTGTTGAACTGCACTTTGTGAAATATGGTTTTCATGTTATCTCTTATCGCAGGAGCCATAATTGTATTTTAACGTAGTAAAATCCTGCAACCCTATAACCGCTATAACCTGAACGCAGGACAGGCGATACGTTAACTTTTCAAATAAGCGTCAATACGATTACAGTGCCATCTACTGATTAGGCAGTCAGGCTCTACGATTACAGTGCCATCTATTGATTAGACCATCAGGCTCATTGACGTTCAGGTTTTAATAATCGAATGATAAAAACAATCGATGAAATTTATCTATATTGGATCTCACTTTGAATTTGTTACCTAACAATTTCAGTCGTTAAAATATAATTATTATAATTCATGACATTATTTCGTCTCAAATATTTCCTCGTTAATATCTAATGAAATATACATCATATATGTGTCTACGTTTTGAAATTGTGATACAATTTATAAATCATATACACATATATACATATATATATTTCTTTGACAAATTTACAGTAAAAAAAAATTTATACGAAATGTAGGATTGTAAATTAATTAATATTTTACGGAAACAAATCAAGAACTGAGATTTAAACATCACAATATAATCTATATATTATATCTTTACAAATTTACAAGTCACAGACTTTCAGAGTCGCAGAATTTCTCGAGAATATTTCTGCCTGCAAATTTAAACGATTTATTTTAGTATCATTATTTTTATTTATTTAAATATCTTCAACAATAATAATAATAATAATAACTACACAATAACAAAAAGGAACGATATATAAATCGCAAAAATCATCGCGGTATAATTCCTATAATTCCTATAATAGTTGCAAAAATAGTGCGGCATTCTTAATTATTTGACGGTTGTCAATAAAAAAGGAAAGATAAGAAAAATATAGGCCGCTTTATTAATTATGTATTTTTTATTTAACATCAAAAGTAATGACACTTGGGTTGTATTTGTATCAGTTTGCAATGTAATCCATGTGTATATATTGTGTGCGAAGTGTGTGGCGTGTATGTGTGAGTGTGTGTGCGTGCGTGTGTGTGTGTGTGCGTGTGTGCGCGCACGCGTGTATTGCATGTAAAAACAAAATGTATTATATCGAATAATAATTGCAAAAAAGGATCGTCAGTCAGAAAATATATATAAGTAACTGCTGAAACGATGTAATAAAGTGTCATTTCCAAGCACATAATAACCGGTGTTTTTCTACACGCGATGTATAAAGTGTGTGGACGTGTGTGGCATATATACGCGACGTTTTAAACGCAAGGGAAAAAAAAAGAAACAGAAAAGAAGAGTGCGGCAGGCCCATGACCAAAAAAGCGTTCCCTCTCCCTAATAAAGAAACGAGACCGCCTTTTCAGTCGCGAGGTCACCGCCTTTCGCGCGCGCTATCTATTTATTCGTTTTCAATTATTTAAAATATGTACAGTATTAATAAAACGTTATCCGCCTTCTTCTCTTCCTTTTTCTTTTTTTCTTTTTTTTAAGATTTTTCTTAATCGTTCAATGATTCCGACGCGGTATGCGGCGGGCTGTGCAGGCGCGCGGCATCAAAAAATCCACCAGCAGGGATTTTCTTAACGAATGCTGAAAATTCCCGAGTCTTTTTTTTTTCTCAGATCGTGGGGGGGGAAAAATGAAAGAACCCCGTTTCTCGTGGATCGGAGTGTGCATATACGTGTGTGTATACATGTATCTCAATTGCGGAGGAAAGAATCACGACGTTCCTGATGTATTTCGTCTTCGGAGACACCGCGAAGAGCTGCGCACGAGGCATTATGTATCGCTTGTTTTTATTTATTTATTTTTTGTTTTTTTTTTCCTCGAAAATACGCGGAAAAGAACAGACGACTGCGATAAAATCGCATCTAACGAGGATACCTCCTCTAAATCGCGCGTACGCAAATATATACGAAAGCATAAACGTTGTCCTGCACTCCACGGATAATAAGCTTGAAGCGCTTAATACACGCGCGTGAATATATATAAGCATGTAAGTATAAGCACGACGTCGTCCCGCTCAGTCCACCGCAAAAAGGATCGTGTGGTCTTAGACCGATACTTGCTCCCCCGTCTGACGTACGTGTGTCTGCTTTCGACCCGTTTTTTCTTTCCTCTTCTTCCTTCTCCTTTTCCCTCCTCCACCCCTCTAACGCCGGATCTTTTTTTTTTTACTTGTCCTCAATTTCTTTTTTTTTTATTCGCTTATACGTACTTTGTTTTTTTTTTCTTCAACAACACGATCTAGACTAAACCATATATAATAATTACATCTAATAATATCTTATTGTAACATGTATTATTATTATTATTATTATTATTAATCATTATTATTTATTTATTATTACTATTAATATTATTAATAATAATTAAATTATATTAGCCTAAAAGTAAAGAGGCTGCGCACGACGGCAAAGCTTTTTTTTCGGTTCCTACGGCCCCCCGGGGCACGGAACACCCTGTCGATAGCGCTGCGGATTCTCTCCGTAGCCTTTAAAGTTATCCATCGCACATGTCTCTTTCTTCCCCTTCTCGCATACAGACACATATAGGTACGTACTCTCCTCTCTTTCATTCCTCTCATTTTCTCACCTCTCTCCTCTCCC